GAGGTAGTGGCGGAATCGATCCGGGTCAATGCCTCGTGGAAGCACGATAGTAGAATTATTACATGTAGGTTATATTCCAAGTGATCTACTTACCTGACTTCGGATGTACCGGTAACTTGGATGTCTCGCATCGTACTGCTCATTTTACCTTGGCCACCACGCCTTCGGTTGACCCACGATAGATCGGTTACCTCTCCTGAAGAAATGCATACCAGTGCACATTCAGTTGCCTGGAAACATCACAAACGAGGGATTCAGATGGGTTCCAGGTGAGTCTCTCGAAAAGCCAAATTAGTTTGCAAAAGAGTGTATATTCGCTAATTTCATGCAATTTGGTTTCAAGTGGAACATAAGGTTGACGGAAACCGGGGACCGCGCCTACCTGATGAGCCCCAAAAGGGGCGAAACCGGTCGTGGGCTGTCGATGGATTTTCAGCAACTTCATGAGTAGTACATTGCAAATGCATACCAGTTTGTTCAAATTGGCTCAATAATTTTTGCACTGGAATTATCGTCCTGATTGATGATACTACCCTCCGTTTTCATTGTCGAGCAGTCTTCATAGTGTGTTTATCAAAGATAACGATTGAGATAGGTAGGTGGTAGAGGAGTTTCTCGTAAACAGCCTCCTTTCGGGCGCTCGATAGAAAAAATCCTCTTCACGTGCACAGGAGTTCATACCCGGCGTAAGCAGCTGACGAACGAGCGTACCAGATCCTTTTTTAACCATGAAGCTGTTTTTTGGTTTAAACGCAATCCGTCACGTGTCTCGGTGGCGCACATGCTGTTCTTACATGGTCATAAGATTCAGGTACACGTGAAATGTTTTCCAGTTTCATGACACCTAGTTTCCGCACGATGGAAAGCCCCAGATGCCACAGAGGGTTCTGCGCTTCATACTAGTTAGTTTCTGAAACCAGAATCCAGCTATGTATTTGCTGTGAACTTCTCTACACTTTTTATCCGAATGAGGTGATATATGGTATAAACTCCCAGTAAAATATCCTCCTTATTAGCACACGTAATCCATTCGAGTATGTAGGTGCTTTGTGACAAACTTTTACAGAATGAGTTGGCGTAAAATCAGGTTTATTCATCGGGTTTGGTACCGGTATCCGAGTGGTTGTCATGCTGAGTAACTCCCCATATAGTCGGCAGTATCGTAGCTTCTTTGGTACCATTTTCTGAAACCAGTCTAATGAGGATAGATTTGTGCTTGTCGATGCTACTCGCCTTCCAAGACGGGGACCGCGTGATCCTCACTGCGCCTGGTTGGAGACGCTGCAAGCTTTGGGTGTCAACCGATGTCAGTGGCGATCTTGTTGTCAGCTTCTATCCAGATTGCCTGAATGAGTGTTTGGAGGTGTAGGCACCTCGGAATGATTGTAGTCAACTAGCTCCAAGTCCCTTCCACCTTTATTCTTTTCTTCACAATAAGGCTTTCAAATAAATCATGGTTGTACGACAGCGAAGCATCGCTGTGGATGCTGTCGATGATGATGATATTTGTGCGTACTTCTTCCCCTCGGTGTCTTCCCGATTTCTATAACAGTGGAAGTCGTTTTTCCTTGTGCATTGTTCACTAGCTTACTAGAGTCGTCTTTTCAACTGACTGGAAATTGAATTGTTGTTGTGTTATATTCGATTGAGTTACTCACCAGTCTTCGTTTGAACCATCTTTCATAAGAAGCCAACTTATTTCTAACATTTTGCACAGTGAGGGCAATTCCAATAGCTTTGAGCATTGTATTAGACTTCGAGCTTTGGTGTCAGGTGCAGCTGCAAGTTATCACGAGAGTATACGGACCGACGGAGTGGTTCAGTCAGATTGCGGTGACGTTGGAAAACTCCACGTCGATTTGACTATGTATTGATCCTAGGCCATTGAACGCCGCCCTACGTCGAAACCTACGCTTGCTGACTTTGTCAGGATCAAACGGAGGGCGATTGTTTGCAAAACTACGTCTTGTGTCAGCATTTTGGCAACTGGAATTGAGTAAGGAGTACAGCTATTTGACACCATTTGGGTGATTCCATTGTCTGAGCCTGTCCAGCAGGAGACTTATTCGAGCCCTTGATGAGCTATCAGGCATAATCTGCCCAGCTAACGGTGCTCTCATGCACGACAACAACTTTGAAGAACACGATTGAAATTCTTTAGACAAGGAGTACATCTGACGCGGGAGAAAGTAGCATATCTTGTGACCTTTCCTGCTTTCCGTGGACGATTGCTCACAGTTGACGACAAAAGCGGACCCGGGAGGAGATCAGGACCATCGAGTCCGCGTCACCTCCATAACACCCCAAAGGTAAGATGCGTCTGCTGATCTGTTCGCTTCCAAACGCATAGCCACCAAACGAAGGGACATCATCTCTCCGATAAACTTACCCGAGAGTTACCAAGATTTCAACACTCATTGAACGGAATGGTTAACCATTTGAATCATTTTCTACCACGCCTGGCGGATCTCATGAATCGGATCCACGAGTTGACCTGTAAAGGCATTCCATGATGTTGCAGTGGGCGACAAGTGTGCCGTAACTGAAGCTCATGTGCTTGCCTGCTACAATCCGAAGTTATCCCTCGTTGTTCTGTGCGACAGCAGTCAAATTGGTTTGGTAGGATTGTTTGAGCAGCAAGACAAACCGATTGATCAATGGAGTCGCACCCCGATCCTGGTGGAAATGGGCTGTTAGTCGTGGCCTTCGCTCCGTATGTATGTTTCCGGTAGAAAGATCGTGCTCACCGCGACCCGCACCACCGAGCTATCATTCCGTTCGCCGTTATCTGGTGTGCAATTGTTAACGCTCTGTTGTGCTGGTCGGTGGCGGAGTTGCGCACTTGCTGACACCACAAAGGTAGAGGTTTGTTTTACACTTGTTCACTTCTGCAGACATTCAAATTCAATTCTTCCTTGTGATGTTCAGGACTATCAAGTTCCACATTAGAAACTCATCACTGATACTTTCTTTGCTGCGGTATCAGCTACAGGTTCGAATTTATCTCCGCAATTCACTCTACACCAACAACCGAACCTAACTCGTCCAAGCACAAACAAGCACCGATATGTGGTCTAAGTGCTTAGTACTGGCTGGCCACAAAATAAAGGAAAAGTTCCACAGCACTTGTAAGTTTGTCACACCCATAATGACCAACGAGGCTTGATGAGAGAAGTACACGCTGGTGTTGGAACCAGTCAGGAACCATTTTATTGACCAGTCAGGTGCATGAGTACACTGCTGTGCGGATAATACCTAGCTCATGACTGGTAGCATCCGAAAAATCTAATTCTCTCACGCGAGATGCCAAATTGAGCCTTGTGAACAGTCGTGGTGAATCTGTTTGTGGGCATCCAAAAATACTACCTCGTCACAACAGATTACAGCGGTGCTCACATTAAGGTTGTGGTGCTATATACTCTAAGTACAATAAAACTGCCCTCAGTAGAGTGCTGTCGCAGTTTGTTAGGCACAGTGTTCCCGAACTCAGGCAACTTACCAGTGAAGTGTTTAAGGGATCAACCGGGAGAAGTTCGAGCATCTCACTAGCAGTTCATATGACCAGTTGTATGGCAAACTTGGTGGCTATCTATAGAGGAAAATGTCGGTAGCTCAGGTAGCGTAGATAGTCGTTGGCTTGTTCGCTGAGCTGGGCAATTTGATTGCAAACGTTTCATCACCAATCGAGGTAACATCATCAGTGAGTTATTGGGGAGCGTAGTTGTGCGTAGCGATGGGTTAGTGATTTTGGTGGTTAAAATAAGGCAGTATGTCATCATCCTCGATCAACGAAACATCTCAACGACAAGCATTGGATACAGCTCCGTCCAAGTGTTACCCATAGTGGGCGAAGCCCTTCTCCCCAAGCCGTTCGATAATGTCTACGTTGCGTTTCGTGGCTCTCATGCTGTTCCTCCCGAAGGTACAGTGGAGACAGGAAGGTTGCACTCATAGAGCGATTGCAGAATAGCCCACAAGGTTACACTACAATCTTCGTGACTGGACGAGAAGCACCGAGCCGAAATTGCTCGATCCTGACTCATCAGAGCATACTTTTTGGTCCGTATCTGTCCAGTCATCGTCATGTTTTTTTTAATGTTTCCAGCGGGCCGATTCCGGACAGGAGGTCAGCTCAAAAGAAACATTACGATCAAAGTGTAGGTTGGGTGTCTGACCTGGAAGTGGATGGACGCAGTACGTCTCAGAAAACCCTTCAGGGGTGAGGTAAAGAAAAGGCATGGATATAACTCCTGTATGGTGATACGATCCACCGAAGAAATAGCGCTTAGTCCAGGATGGTGGTACAGCTTTCACAGGAACTGGAGAGCTTTTCGAAAGAGAGGATCTGCAGTTAGGAGGCGACGACAACAACACGTCATATGGAGTTCAAAGAACCGGCCAGTGACCGCCCGATTAAGTCTGATTAAGTTTGTCAACTAACCATCGGAGTATTTTGCAGCGTACGGTTGAGGCTGAAAGCAGGTCAAGGCCGTTCGTTTGTCCTAAACGGCAATCCACAATAGAAGCAACAATATTGCCAGCAAGCGACACAAGCAATCGAAGAATCAATCAGGAACTGGACCAATCGCAGTCCAGTAAGTACATCGGGGTAAACAATACGGAGTTTGGAACGGCGGGCGGCAAGATTGTTAATACATCAATAAAAAATCCAGTGCTTTTCCTCAATAAGATGAGGTTTCCCTGAGACCTCTTCACTTTCCAGAGTTTCGGTGAAGTTGCATAAAAAGTGTAAAAAAATACACAAGGCTAAAAAACGTAGTTATTTGACGCAATGTGGACGCTACGATTTAAGGAGTAAATGTTGTATCGTGAGTGGCCGTCTATTGGATCCGTCTGCACTGAGCCTGCCAGACAGGGAGAAGACAGATAACTGGGGACACGGCTGTATTCTCAGGACAAAACATACAGAGCGTCTGCGTAATATATGGGATGACTAAATGGCCAAATATGGTCGTTCACTTGTTCGCTCCGTATAGCCAATGGCGGTGTTCTGGTCGTGGAACAATCTCGGCCCGCTACGCTGGTCGTATGTTGCTAAGCCGTGTTTGGCGGGAACCGCCAACTCGCCTACTTTCCGGACGTGTCGTACCGATGGTGACCTTGGGGACGAGTCACTCTCTGCACATCTGGGCGGGCGCGTCCTGACAGTAAGTTGTTTCATACCCAACGGTAACTTTTATTTGCATTAGTGATCAGCCCCATCGCGAAATCCGATGTTACACGTTTCTTCAGTCGGTTCTGTGTGCCGCGAAAATCCAATATATACAGGCGGTATTTGGCACCACAGAATTCGACCATCCTACAAATTAAACTTGTTTCCTTCGGCATTCCGTTGCTCTGTATGTCATAGAAGAATTAGTTCAACGGAAAACTTTTAAAAGACATGCTAGCAATTGATTTGTGGGGTCAAATTCAACCTGGATGTCTTCACCACGGGTGTGTGTCAACCAAGAATCCTGATCTCGTACGTATTGAACGGTTTGACAACTGCCCAGCACTTTCACGTACAAGCAAGTGAGGTGCGATAGTGAGCAAGCCCAGTTGTTAGTGATTTGCCACTCGCTAGTTGATGGTCAATTTAGGTTAGGGTCATCGTTTAGGTTAGCCAGCGTACAATGCACCAACTGTTGTGATCCAGAAAAGTGTGGTAGCCTGGTGGAACATTCAGCACAGTTAACTAGAGCTTTGATCTTTTCAAGAACGGAATGTAAAAAGAACTGTCTCGTAAAAGCAACAGATGAAGAATACTTCTTCAGGGTGCATACTATGCAGGTTTCTGCGGAAGTGAGTGTAAGCGAAATGGGCAAGGTTTGTCTCGCCTGTCCGGAGAAGAGTTACTCACTATTGAATTATTTATTTGGCTGTCTGATGATGGCAGATCACCTAACAGAGTTCCATGACTGAGTTACTTTGAACTGAAGGGTGGTCTGTTAGCTAGCAGGGTCTTTGGCATGATCGCAATACGTTACTGAGACTCTCTGAAGGTGAAAAATGAAACCACATGGTAAAAATCTACCTCTGTCATTCACTGGCATAATTTTTAACACAACCACGGAGAGATTTGTGGCGAAACTTGATCGCATATAAGAAAACTGACCGGAATTGGAGTTCTGCCTTAACTTTATGTTGTCTGCAAATGCTGACCCAAAACGTCATCGGAAAAAAACATCCCATCTTCCTTGATTCGATAACAAGAGTGCGTTCCTATTCCTGATTGTCAGTGCAAGCTTCGACCATCCGTTCTTCCTCCCGATATTGATTTACTGGAGTACGGTGTGAGTGATGAGCGATTTTACATCCCCCGGAAGTGTGTCTGATCAAGTCGGTGCGAGAACCAAAATCACGTTTGCTAATTTGCATCACTTGTGGTGTCAAAAAGGTAAATCACTTGGTCTAAAGGGTCGCATGTACCAAGCTACAGNCGGCATTCCGTTGCTCTGTATGTCATAGAAGAATTAGTTCAACGGAAAACTTTTAAAAGACATGCTAGCAATTGATTTGTGGGGTCAAATTCAACCTGGATGTCTTCACCACGGGTGTGTGTCAACCAAGAATCCTGATCTCGTACGTATTGAACGGTTTGACAACTGCCCAGCACTTTCACGTACAAGCAAGTGAGGTGCGATAGTGAGCAAGCCCAGTTGTTAGTGATTTGCCACTCGCTAGTTGATGGTCAATTTAGGTTAGGGTCATCGTTTAGGTTAGCCAGCGTACAATGCACCAACTGTTGTGATCCAGAAAAGTGTGGTAGCCTGGTGGAACATTCAGCACAGTTAACTAGAGCTTTGATCTTTTCAAGAACGGAATGTAAAAAGAACTGTCTCGTAAAAGCAACAGATGAAGAATACTTCTTCAGGGTGCATACTATGCAGGTTTCTGCGGAAGTGAGTGTAAGCGAAATGGGCAAGGTTTGTCTCGCCTGTCCGGAGAAGAGTTACTCACTATTGAATTATTTATTTGGCTGTCTGATGATGGCAGATCACCTAACAGAGTTCCATGACTGAGTTACTTTGAACTGAAGGGTGGTCTGTTAGCTAGCAGGGTCTTTGGCATGATCGCAATACGTTACTGAGACTCTCTGAAGGTGAAAAATGAAACCACATGGTAAAAATCTACCTCTGTCATTCACTGGCATAATTTTTAACACAACCACGGAGAGATTTGTGGCGAAACTTGATCGCATATAAGAAAACTGACCGGAATTGGAGTTCTGCTTTAACTCTATTTTGTCTGCAAATGCTGACCCAAAACGTCATCGGAAAAAAACATCCCATCTTCCTTGATTCGATAACAAGAGTGCGTTCCTATTCCTGATTGTCAGTGCAAGCTTCGACCATCCGTTCTTCCTCCCGATATTGATTTACTGGAGTACGGTGTGAGTGATGAGCGATTTTACATCCCCCGGAAGTGTGTCTGATCAAGTCGGTGCGAGAACCAAAATCACGTTTGCTAATTTGCATCACTTGTGGTGTCAAAAAGGTAAATCACTTGGTCTAAAGGGTCGCATGTACCAAGCTACAGTAAGAGCTGTGTCGCTGCATGGCCTCTGAGGACAGATGATGTGAGGCGCCTTCAGGCTTTTGATCACTGATGCCTCAGAAGCTTTACTGGTGTCGAATAGCGTCAACGGATTGGTAATGGGGCGATCAGAAAATGGGTATTTGTTTGTGTAGCAAGTACACAGGCTGTGGGGAACTTCCAGCACCACCAACTACGTTGGATTGGCCATTTGTACGCATGCCAAAAGTGCGTCTACTGAGATGAGCGTTGTTCTCCGTGCCTGCTTCGGAATGCTGCGAGCGGACAACTTATGATTTGGCAGAAGGGCGTGAAAACTATTACGAGGAGTTTGGTGCTATTAGTGTGGTGCGTCTTCCAGGATGGGGTCCCCGTAACCCTTTCTGCGCTTGCCTGGAGATGATACAAGAAATGGCGGCTAGTCAATATCAGTGGCGTTCTTACTGTCAGTTTCTTTCTAGATTGCCCGACTGAACGCTTGGAGGTGTAGGCACCTCGGAGTGCTTCCGATAGACCAGTACCAGGTTTCCTTCCTCATCCAAACTTTTCTCTTCACCCTTGGTATTTAAATATATTTAGATAAACTTTGTGGTTGTACAGAAGTGAAGCATCAGTATCCACAATGATGTTACTGTCTCTGATGATGATGATGATGACGTGCGATTGACGATAAGTTTACCTGAGAGACAGCACTTATTTGGTAGGAGGACGACTGTATTCCGTTTCTTCTGAGAAGCTAGTTTTAAATCCCGAAACCTCATTGGGAATAAATACAATGTGCCTATATTGATACGACTGTCTACGTTTGACACACGCTTCGGGTGCACTCAACCACCAATGGTATCCTTGTCATGTTTAATAGTGAATTGCTAGGTTGCAGGATGAGTCACAGTACAACACCTTCCCCTAGACTAGAACACGTTTGTTTTCGAACGCTTTTCACGTGTAACTGAGTTATTCTGGTGGATTCTTTTTATCGGTTAACCGAGATTTTGGTATTCTATCATTTCTGATGCTTTGAGTCGGGTGGAAGTGACCCCGGGTCAAAGTGTCTCTTATGTGACTCCGATTGAATTTATCTTGTGCTCGTTTATCGGAATACAATGTGGCACAAAATGAAGAAGTTCTCACTTCTGAACAGTCAATCACACTTTATTGATTGAGTTACTTCTCCGATTCCAACGTAACTGAGGCCCGAACAACCTGGAACAAGATACACTCATTTGCAAACAGATTTGGTCCCAGGTAGGACATAATCTCGACGGAAACTTGGGGACTGTGCCTACCTGATGAGCCCTAAGAAGGGCGAAACCGGTCTGGAGCAAGGTTTACCTCATTGGAAAAACTAATCGTTAAGACTCAAATGAGAGGATCTTTTGAAGGAACTTTTGGCCGAATAAGATTAACTAACAGAGTCTTCTCATTCAGTATAAATATGTGAAATCGATTGGTTGCAACTCTCTTCGAAAGAAAAGCTAGGCATTAATGAGATGTGGCTTGGTGGCAATCACCAGACTGACTTTCACTAGGAGCACCACTAATCGATAATCCTTGACACAATATTGACTGTCGTCGATTAGAATTTAAACCGGTACCCATGAGAATTGGGTGGTCTCATGTCTGAATTCACCCAAGCGAGACTGCGTAGGCGTTGAGTAGGAGTCTATTTCCAGGACACCTATGCCGAAATGATGTTTAAGGAATGCATAAATCGGTGTGCTACAGCAAGCCACTAGATGAAAAATTGATTGCTGGTCTGTTCGAGAGCAGATGATGATGCCAACATCAGTTTTTTTATTTGTAATGTACTACTCATAAGGTTGCTGAGAACATCATTAACGAGAGATTCAGCTGGGTTCCAGGTGAGTCTCTCGAAAGAACCAAATTGGTTTGCAGATGAGTGTATATTCGCTAAGTATAGTTTTCTATTACTTTATAGACTGCGCCATTTTTTGCCTTTGCTAGATCTAAGGGTTCTTTAAAACCGGTCTATTCTAGACAGCCCCATAAATGAGAGGACTTTCGAGAGAACGACACCGAACTTGCCTGAACGCCATCAAGTGGTGCAGTAGTTTTTATACCTTCGCTCCCCAATGAGGGCAACACGAAGTATGGCGGTTTCAATTTGCCCGAGTTATAAGCGTCCATATCATAATTTAGGACAGCTCCGCAGCCAGTGTTGTTGCGTGCATGACCCAAAAGTGGTGCCTGATGATGTGATCCCATGCTGTTCATTCAACTCGATGCACCTGGAATAATCACCGTGGCGCGGTGCACTTCACAGGACACAGCTGGAACACCATCATCAGCTGTGTAAAAATCGTGTACAGTGGTTATAGCAGACACAGGCGAATAATGTCTCTCGTAATCATCCCACTCAATGTGAATCGTGTCTGAGTGGGGACTATTTTAGAATCTCTTGGATAGACTTGTTAGCGTTCTAGTTGCAACTTAATTATCGATTGATTATCAGTAGGCAGCAAGCACTAACAACTATCTGTTTTAGCAGAATGATGGTAAATACAATACTTAGGTGTACCTGCTAAAAATGAATGCAATGACATCAGGGAACAAGCCAAAAAGTGACTTATCGTTTTTTCCGGACAGCTGTTGAGAGTTCCTGAGTGAA